TATTTATAACTGATTGAAGTCTAATTAGAATAATTATATTATTCCTTAGGTATATTAGGTATTATCACTTCTTAAAAATAACAATTTTATCGTATTTAAGGAATAATAGTATTATCGTATTTTAGATATGATGATATTATCATTCTTAAAAAATAATTTATTTATCATTCCTTAGGTACGATAGTTTTATCATACTTAAGGAATGATGATATTATCATTCTCTATATATGATAGTTTTATTATACCTAAGGAATGATGCATTTATCATACCTTAGGAATAACAATTTTATCATTCCTAAAGTATGATAGTTTTATCTTTCTTAGAGACGATAGTATTATTATACCTTAGGTATGATGATTTTTATCATTCTTAAAGAATGATGTATTTATCATATCTAAAAATGATAATATTATCATACCTTAAGTACAATAATTTTATTATTCTTAAGATATGATAATTTTATCATTTCTAAAATACGATAGTTTATCATTCCTAAGAAATGATTATTTTATCATACCTAAGAAATAATAGTATTATCATTTCTTAGGTATATCAACTGGCACAATTTCGACAAAAATACGCAATAGTTTTATTATATCTAAAAAATAATAGTATTATTGTACCTTAAGTATAATAATTTTATTATTCCTAAGGTATAATGATTTTATCATATTTAAGGAATGATATATTTATTATTTTTAAAAAATGATTATTTTATTGTACCTTAGGTACGACGACTTTATCATTCCTAAGAAATGATGCATTTATCATTCCTTAAAGATGTTTATTTTATTGTACTTAAAGAATGATAGTTTTATCATTTCTAAGAAATAATGCATTTATTGTACCTAAGGAATAATACATTTATCATTTCTTAGGAATGATTATTTTATTGTATCTAAGAAATGATGGTATTATCATACCTTAGGTATAATGATTTTATTATTCCTAAGGTATGATTGTTTTATTATATTTAAGGAATAATAGTATTCGTCAAGGAATTTTTTCAGAGTTAGATCTGCGGTAATCTATGATTTTCACAGATTTCCACTTTTTTATATATCTTTTTTCTAAAAATCTGCGAAGTTTTTACAAAATGCAGACTCATAAATTTTTTAAATAATCACTTAATGCAGATCTGCAATAACCTTCTAAATTGTAGATAATTGCAGATTTAATGATTTAAGATAATCTTAAACTTTAAATAGAATTTTTCAAAAAAAAAATCACAAGTTTTTTTTATATTTCAAAGAGATATAAAATATTTTTTTTATTTTAAAGAGTTACAAAGCATTTTTTTATTTTAAAAAATTACAAAGTTTTTTTTTAAAATAAATATTTATTTAATAAAAACTTATTATCTTTATTGAATCTTAATACAATATGTACCTCTTAGTTTATAAAACTGATAGGGATTGCGTTATAATCTTTAGTATAATATAATTATGAACAATTGTAAAGTTTGAATTCATTTAGTTCAATATTATACCAGCGGATAAGAGCAAATTCATATGAAGCTTTTAACGACTCCTAAAAGAATTTGAATAGAAGTAATACCTTTTAAAATGATATTCTGTTGTTAAAGATATTAACTAAAATAAAAAGGTATACTTTCGATATTAACTAAAGTTCACTTACTTTTCTATATTATGCTTTTTTATTCGAACTATATTATTCTTGATTCTTTACATAAGTTATCACAACTTTGCTAAACTATTCTTTACCTTAGAAGTCTCCTGTTATTCTTAAAATCTCACCACTTTCTAAGTGGATAGCATTGTAGATATTAATACAAAAATTATCACTTTCAGAGTCTTATAAAGACGTGTTTAAAAAGGTATCTAGTGCTAAAATTATCTGCATTACCTCTTCAATAAAATTTTAATGCAGTGGATTTTTAGATTTCTTTAAAAACTTTATTTTTATATTGATGGCGTCTAAAGATATTTCTCAGAGAATTTTTCTGAATCCTTCAATTTACAATAAACAACTTTTCTGATTTTTAAAATCAATTCTTTATACTTTACCTGTAAGTAAAAATTTATATTATTTTATTTTACTATATTTTTATTAAAATTTTAAATTTAATATTAATCAGATTTTAACTAATCACATTTACTAGTTGATGTATTACTTCCTTTCTGTTTGATAAATAATAAGGATTTTTTATATAATATTTATGAAAAGTTTTATATATTTTTGTCGATAAGCCATTTAGCATTCTGTATTTACGAGTTATTACAACTAAACAAGAACGAAAATAAGATATAGTGACAGTTTACAAATTTTAGTTAAAAAAATTAGATATACACTCGTATAGTACTGCCAGCTATGTAGTTTAGGAAAACTACAATCTATCGTAGATAATAAAGAGAAAATACTCTTAAAGTTAGTATACTAACTAATGATTTCTTCCTATTTTGATTAGAAACTTGTTATCTAATTTAAAAGTTAATGTTATTCAGTTATTACCAACTATAATTACCTCAAAGATTTTTAATTCACTTTCAGTATACAAATTTTTCTACTTATTAAATACATTTTATCAAACCTTATATAAAGATTGCAAAGTTCATCACAAGTTGTTTAGTTTCATTTATTGAAAATTTTATCTAATGCAAAAATTGCAACTTTCATTATATGGTGATAGTCTGCTGCAGTAATCACATTTAAATTGCCTAACTTACTTATAAGTTTTAGACCAGGAAAGTAAAGAATTTGGCAAAGATAATCATTAAAAACATTCAGTAATTTAGCTTTTCTTATTTCTTTCAAAATATCTTGCGTAAATTCCAGATGATATTTAAAGAGCCCAAGATCAATGTGATGCATATGATTGGGAACGCAAGCTTCATATATATTCAGATTTCTAAAAAAAATTAATTACTAATTTATAATTAATTTTAAAATAATTTAAATAGTAACCAATATTTACATAAAGTCTAAAATGCGTTTTTAGTATAATGTATAGAGTGATTCTTTTTTTGACCATCTCTAATTACACTCTGCATATTATCATGTATTCTAAAAGAAGCTGATTCATGATCCATTTTGTTTAAATTTTCTTGCAAAACCATACAAGTATGACATAGCATTTTGCTATGTGCTAACTTGTATGTAGCAGTTATTTTATCTGCTTCAAGCATATCTGAAAGGAAAAATAAAATTTACATAGTAAAAGTCATTTCATGTCCTTTGATTCTAAAATATAATGCATCAGGTTTTTCTAATAAGAATCAAAGCATGATTTTAAAAAATTTATAATATATTTTACATTAAAAGTTTCAAAAGATTCATTTGTTTTAATTCCTGAATCCTGAATCTTAGATAAAAATCCCAAAAGGACTTTTGATTCTAAAGAATTTCAAAACTAATTTGGAAGGTTCTCAAGTATTAAGAATATTAGATGGCCTGAAGTTTTACTGAGTTTATCAAAAGTCATCGCATCTGAATACAGGATTATCAACAACAGATTGTTCAAAAGTGGAAGTGTCTTTTCTGTATTTAGCCACCAGTCACATTCATACAGTTCTCTAAATATTCTTTCACTTCTATTGCCCTGAGTAAATTTTAGACCCCCTTTATGAACAAAATTATCAGCTACTTTTGGTTATTACACTAGGGCTTAAATTGCACAGAAAATTAGACAATAATAGAATTTAAATTCAATTCTCAAATAAGTTACAACAGTTTTTTCTTTGAAGTTTATTGATGGTGAATTTATTTGACTGAGGTAAGCTTTATCATCTTTTATCAATTTTGATAATAGAGACTTTTTCAAATTGCTATTTTTATTAAAAAATTTAATTATTTTATTTCTGATCTTATTTGATATGTTACTTTCTACTACTAACTCTATAAAGTCACGATAAGCATCATTTGACCATTCTACTATATGTTCTAATTTATTTTTTCCTTTAATAGTATCCAAAGTATCATTCAATATTGCTACTTAAAGATCTTCAGAATCAAAATTAATTCCTCTGATGTTTAATGATGATTGTAACTCTTCGTCACTATCTTTAATATTTTCTTCTTCTATTTCATCTCTTCCTTCAATGTTATCTGATTCCATATTCTATACTTTGCTTTGCAGATTATAACATGTTTCATTATTAACTTCTATCCTAATATTAACATCATTAATATCAATATCGTTAACTTGAGAAAAATTTGTATTCGTAATCAGTATATTCCATAAGGTTTCATCATATTCTAGTATTGATATTCTGTGAGATTGCTGATATATTGACTGCTGATGTCTAGGTTCAGTTTTATGAGAAAGCATTATTCTTTCTTGATGCATGATATTGGCATATCATATTAATTCACTAATTGTTGAAAATTTTCTTCTATAAATTTCACAATGATATTTAACTATTATATTTATCTTTTCTCTAAATGTTATCACTAGAATTTGAAGCAAAGGTATCTCAATTAAATTTATAGAATTTACGATTTACTTGTGATGAAAATATTTATTCTATTTACTATTTTATTACCATTCAGTAAAGTAAATTTATTAATAATTTTGCAATATATCATTTAATTGATTTATTTGGCAAATTTTACAGTAATTTATTTTACTTATCATCAATTTAACAATTATATCATTTTAACTAATATTTAACAATTATACATCAGTTTGAATTTATTTTTAGAATAATATAAATGATTATTATGCAATTATGCGTATTTTTTAATATATAAATCACGGGTTTCTTCTATCCTTAATTCCTTTAACAATAATTTTTTTACACTTAGAATTTCTCTAATGCTATTTTTTTCTATACTTGAAATTCCTTTAATAATAGTTTTAGTTTTTCTACACTCAGAATTTTTCTAACTTTTTTTTTCCTTTCAACAACATCTTTTTATTTTAACTATATGCATAAATATAAACAAAAAAAAAGGATCTATTATATGAAATAAGACCCCTGTTGAAACCCAATAATTACAAAACAGAGCTTTTAGATCTACTGAAAGTAAATTCTCACAAATGTTATGCAGTAAGTAATCTCTAACATAAATAAAAATAATATTATAACTGATCTTTAATCTATTATCCCTTAAAGAATCTATCTTCTTAACCGAACCTTCAGGATTGTTAGAGCCTTCAGAACTATCAGAACCTTTAGAACTGCTAGGATCTTTAGGATCTTCTACACCTTCTGGATCTTTAGAATCCCTCAAATATTCTACATCTATGATGTCTTTTCGTAGAAAATCAGTTGAACTACTTAGCAGAAAATTAACCAATTTGATAATAATCAATAATGATTTTTTACTATATAATGTTCACAATAATGATCCTGATTCTTTGTCAGCAAGTAAAGAATTTTTTTTGTTATCTAAAGTGCCATGACTAGTTAAAAATAATGATCACAAATACTACTTAACTATTGACAAGTTCAAATATACAATAGACTTAGTGTATATCAAAATTAACACTATATACAAACTTTGTAGATTCATCAGTAACAAACAATAAGAAAGTGTGAAATTATTAATGAAACTTGTTGTATTTGATGAACTTTTGGATACTTTTTGGGCTATAAGTTATTTTAAGAAAGTATGTGTTAATCTTTAATTAATTACTTAATAATTTTCTTTTTAGCGTGCTTATAAGAAAGTTGCAAAAAAAAACTTCTACCAAATATTCTATTTCTCTCAACTCAGAAATATCAGGAGGTATTAGAAGAATATCTCTTTAAGCATGTAGAGCATTTTATTTAGTAAATATGAAAAAATAGCTAGATATCTTTATTTGAAGAAAAATTATTAATGGAAGTAAGTGAAATCTTAGATTAGGAACTTCAGTGATCTTCAAAAAGATTCTGAATAATTTTAAATTTTATAGGTCAAGCAAAAGGGTAGAAGTAAAAGAAACAATATCGCTGTAAACATCTGAAATGCGCTATTTTAACATTTAGCAAAGACATGCCTCCAACTATCAAAATCAAACGAAAATTAAGTTGAATTTTAATCAATTTTTCTGATTTTTTTTTACTTTTTATAATAAAAACATGCTTCTAACCATCAAAATCAGATGAAATTTAAGTTAAAATTTTAATCAATTTTACTGATTTTTTATTCTTTGTTTTCAAAAATGTTAATATTACTATAATGAATATTTAGGATAATTTAAGGGAATTTTAGAAGAAAAATAGATTATATTTTTATTATTTTACATGGTTTTTTCATTTTTTACTTATATTTTTTAAATAAGAAATTAATCAGTAGGTTTTGGTAATATTTATATTATGTTTTTACGAATTATATTAGGTTTTTATTATTAATAAAATTATAATATTTAATAAATTTAATAAATATAATATATCAATTTTATATGCTTATTTGACTGAATTGATACCAAATTGAGGCCAATTTTAGACTAATTTATCATTATTTAAGTTCTGAATTGATGTCGAATAATGCTGTATTGAGGTCAATTTTAGGCTGATTTATGGTTATTTAAGTTCTGAATTAATGCTGAATGATGTTGAATTAAGATTAATTTTAAGCTGATTTATGGTTGAATTTAAGTTCTAAATGATTATATCTGATTAGAGTCGATTGAAGTTGATCAGCATCTATCAGCATCTGAATTGTTGCCAAATTGAAGCAATTTTAGGTTAATTTATAATCAAATTTAAGTTCTGAATTAATGCTGAATGGCCATGTATAATTAGAGTCAATCAGTGTTTATCAGCATCTATTTGTGCTGATCAAAAAATATAGCAAATCGGTTATAAATAGTATTAAAATCAGCCTAAAATCAGCTATCTAATTTTTAATTGATTTGGACTATTTCAACTAGTGTATCCAATGACAAATTTTACAAATGGTCAATAAAAATCTTATCTAAAATGAGTTAAAATCTTAATTTGAATATTAAGAAATGGGTTATAAAGCAAAGTTTTAAATAATTTCTATTTTTTAATATAAGTTTTTGGTATATTTTTTTGAGATCTAAGATAAGATAAAAACTAATTAACAAATCATATATACTCTCTATATTTCAAATATTATTTTGTATATATTAATTTATAAAGCCATCTAGTTTTAAGAAGTTGTTAATATTTAGGTAATTTATATTGAATTCATTCTTGATAAAGCATATGAATATGATCAGAATTAATTCCTATTAGAGTATCTTTATTACTTTTATTATAGCCATTATGAAGCTTCTAAGTTAAATATAGAAGATTTGCAGAAAGTTTCTTTTGTGAAAATCTACTTATGCTAGATAATTTTTCAAAACATATTTTCTCAAAATTATTCATAATAATATGCATTACATGAAGACTATAAGGAATCTAATAAAATTTAGCTCTAGTTAATTTATTAAATAATATAGCTTTTTCAATTTTATCACTCATATAATTAGTATTATCAGATACAAATGTCAAGCATTAGTGAAAATTTATTTCAAAATGTTCAAAAGAGTTATATATTGCTTGTACAACAGATTTTTCAGTACAATTATCTAAATTCTTTATTTCAATTAACTAAACATTTTTCTTATAATTCTAAAATATTAAACAAATAATAAAATTTTTTGTTGATCTCTTGTTAATTCATTTGCTATTATACCAAAAGCATAAAATTCAAAACTATTTTCCTGATCAAAAATTTCATTTATATGCATTTCACTAATCTTCTTATTCTAGCGAATTACAAATTATATTGAAAATAATAAGGGTAAACTTTCTCTAGTTAGAAATCCTAAAATTATTTGTATAGCTTGAACAGTACTTCAAAATGACATTTGGCTGACTTGAAAAACCTACATTGCTGCATTAATAAATTCAGTTATATATTTAGATTTATTTTTAATAATAATTGCTTTGACTGCTTCTTTGAGAGTTTATAAATTAACCAATAATAGACTTTTAATATATATTAATGATATTTTTACTTATATTGTGATAGTGTGTCTATTAGTTGTTTAACTTTGTGATTTTTTTTAACATTAAAATGCTCTAATTTAGTTATTTGCTTTATAGTGTTTTATTATTTTAAATCAATAAGCTTGCACTTTGATCTGCTTTGTAAAGGATCGAATTTACAAAATCTAAAGCTTTGTTTTGTAAAAATGGTGAAAGCAAATTATCCTAATATAGTCTTTTAGAGTATCACATATTATTAATCAAATAATCTGCAGATTTTAATTGATTATCTGGTAATTTTTTAATTATTTCAATTAATTCTTGATGATATGTAAGTTTGAATACCTTTCTACCATTAGTTGGTTAAAGGATATTTTGATAGATTAATAGTAATTTATCATCATTTATTTGTGTGAGTTCTTTGTTAATTTCAAGAATTAGTAAGTTTTTCTGTTAGATAGATCTTTGCATATTTACAGAAATTTAGCTTACTTTACGCATTTGAATTTTTTTTTAGAAATTTTGGTATTCTGTCTATTATAATTAAAGTTCTAAACAGTTTAGATTAATCTGAAGATTTTTTAGATCAGTTCAGATCAGTTCAGTTTCAGATTGTATAAAAATCAATCTGAAAATTTTCAGTTCAGTTTGAACTTTTTTTGGATTATAATTCTAATCTAAACCAAAAAAATCTGAAATGAACTGATAATTTTAGATTAATCTGAAAGTTCAGTTTGATTATATGCGAAATTCTTGAAGGATCACAAAATTTGCAAATTCTCTAAGAGGATCGTAAAAATTTAGTGAAACTCTAAGAAATTCTTGAAGAGTCGCAAAAAATTGCGATTTCTCTTTGAATTTCGCAAACCTCGAAGAGAAATTCACGATTTTTGCGATTCTCCTAGAGTTTTACATATAAATTGTGTATTTCTTATATAATCAAACCATAATTTTGGATTAATTCAAAAATTTTGATTCAGTTCAGATTTTACCAGTCTGCGGTTCAGTTCAGATTCAGATTAGCATTTTTAAGATTAATAATCTGAACTGAACTGAACTGAACTGTTCGGAGCTTTAATTATAATGTTATATACTAATTAGTAATCTTTAAAATGATTCACTACATTATTAAAATATCAATTTACCTTTAAATTTTTACAGCAAGTTCATATATAATTTAAGAATAAAGTTACATTTAGATATTCATTTTGTAAAAGAAAATTTCAAGATTTGACTTCAAAAATCTAAATTTTTGTAAATATTGCATTTTTAAGAAGAATATTCAATCCATTTTTAAAAAATTAATATAGTTACTTTGCAGTAGTTCTTACAAATATTTTTCAACAAAAAAAAAAGAAGAAAAATAAGCTCAATATTAATAAGAATCTTTTAAAAGTTTGAGTTTATTTTAATAGTAAATAATTATGAAAAAAATTCAAGTTTATTTTAAGCTTTATATAACAAAAATTTGATTATAATAAAACTAATTAAGTATCTGATATAGTGTATTATTATTTACACATTTTAATTATTATTCTCTGAAGATAACAAATATTACATTTTAAATACCTGTAGCAAAATCATTTTGTTTATCTCTTCTCTAATTGGAAATATTACAAATATCAATATAAGTATTGATGATAGCTCTAACAAAACTAAAATATTATTATAACTAATAAAGAAATCCTTACTCTTACTAAACCAAAATCTTTATAATTTTTGATAAGGTAAAATGTAAAAAAAAATACAAAGATATATTCTCTTAACAAAAAATCATTAATATTATTAATTAGTACTGTATAGAACTACTTAGTTTTTTAGGAGTCACACATGGCAAATCTCTTGCAGATCCTGTATAAATAATACTCAAAATTGCCTTTTCAGATTAAAAAGAATGTGATATATTCTGTAAGTTGCGGATTTCTCAATTAGATAATACTACATTTCTTCCTTTAGTAATAAAATGCTAGATTCTTTATATTCCTGTGCTATCAATTACTGTAATTGACATCCCTTTGGATATTATAAAATTATGCGTAAAAAAATTATTCTTCAAATATAATAATATTACTAGAATCTCTATAGCAATTCGTAATCTTTGGCAACAAGTAACCATTACTTTTAATGAAAAGGTCAATTTTACTAAACTTAACAAAAAAAGATGAAATTTTTTTATTTAATGATATGATTAAGTTTTACAGAAGTGATACTGATCATAGTATTATTTAAGAAAGATCCAAATACTCTATTAAACTTATTAACTTATCCAGAATACTATGATACATAATCGTACTAATCTCAAATAGATGGTAAAAGTTATTATGTGAATTATTTTTCATACTAAATCTAATTATAACTATTTCTAACATGTCTATTTCTATTTCTCATTAGCTTATTTATGTGAAGCTGTTAAAGTAATTATTGACCTTTTTCTTAACAAAAGTGTCTTGAATAGACTGACTCAAAAAAAAAT